ATCCCACTTTGACAGTATTTTTTGCAGGTAAATACGATTTAGGTCCCGAACAAGTAAACACAGACACTTATTGAGTCCCCTCTGCAGAACGAGCTTCCAGAAGATCAGCTGGGAGATCAGCTTGCGAGCCTGCGCAACGTTCTCCCTCCCGACATCCTCAAGCGAGCGTCTGCTCTAACAGTTTCAACTCCATATCAGTCTTCTGAGAGCAAGCACGCCAGCACGCAGGATTTGCTTTGGTATCTTCCACCTGCGGACAAGGCTCTCGAACTTCGGTGCATTTACTTCAGCCACGCGGCGTGGATGTAAGTGTACATCTTTCCACACCAAATACGTACATTTTAACAAATATATTAGGTACAACCCCATATCGCAAGAGTCATTCGACACCCAAATATACACACAATTCTACGATCTCAACGTCGGCCCATTCGCCAACGATCACACGTTGTGCCATCGCCTTTCGCTGCTGTTTATGGTTCTCGCGATTGGGTCTCTTATGGACACCTCTCTCCCAGCATACAATCTGGAGGCCGAAAAATACCACCAGCTCGCGAGAGCAGCACTCTTTACGAATTCGATATTTGAGGAGCCAACGATCAGTGCTGTGCAAGCTCTAGTGGGTTGCTTGTGATATTTGAAGCGGATCGTCTGACTTCAGTGCTCCAGTTCCTTATGACATTTTATCTCTTCTTAGCTGATCGTCACGGCACCTCTTCGGGCGCTCGGTGGGGTATCATGGGAATCGCGATCAAATTGGCTCAAAGCGTGAGTTGCCAGGCGTTCAGGCATTCCATTGTGACGCTCACGCCAGGCACCCCCAATGCGTAGATCGGCCTGCGTATGAAACGTCTTGCAATATAGTTGTGGTTATGCTGAGGGCTTTCACAGATCGGGATAGCGGGCGATGGAAGGTCGATTCCCTGGAAACACAGTATCGATGCGAGCTATTCTGGGAACTATTTACCTATGACTCCTGGCAATGCTTCACTTTAGGTCGCCCGCCATCCTTTACAGTCCCTCACGTTGATTGCAAGATGCCGTTCCAGAACGACACATCCGACGAGAAGAGCTGTACGTTTCGCGTCATGGACATTGTAATCGGGACTAACTATTTGCTATAGTCCACGCATGGAAACACAAATTCAGCTCAGAGTGCATGAATCTCCTGCATGACCAGGCATTTGGAGCAAAAATGCCCACCTACGCCACCGTACGTCAGCTCGACAGGAAGATGCGCGCCTTCCCCGTGCCCCCAGTCCTTCAGGTCGCTGGCTTTGGAAGCTCGGAGCCTCGACCAGGTGGATTCCCGGAAACGATTATGCTTACACTTCAGCGGCATGTCGTGCTTGCTATTAGGGAAATGGGTACGTGGTACTAGCACGCCACAACGTCTCGCTGATTTCCTAAAAATAGACCTGCTATATCTCCATCGAAGCTTTTTCGCGAGAGCGATGAGTGATCACCCGAAAGATCCACTGGGGAGCCCTTATGGCACGTCGGTCATTGCGGCCTATCGTAGTGCAGGCTCGCTTGTGGCGCTCATGAGGAACCTTCACTCCCAACTCAAAGAGATAAGTGAACGGATTTGGTTCTTGTGGACGCACATGTTTTCTTGCGCTGTATGCTTCTTTTTCTACATTTCACTCGGAAGCTTGTCATTGAATTCACTCTCGACAGATCGTTTTGGGAACGATCGTGACACGGTGTCCATCCATGAGCCTGGCGCCATCTGCGCTCGTCCAACTCGATTCCGCTTGCGAACTTTTCTCCAAGGCGGCCCATGTATTCCGTGCTAGAAAGGTCTTGGTGAGATCCCTTCGACCTTGGTACAATGTTCTCGGGCTGACGGATGACAGAATATCATGCTGAACCTACAAGAGAAGGCTCATTTCAGCCTTGAAGAGTTCAAGAAAGGACGTGGACCGCAATTGGCAAAGTATGGTCTATCCTCAGCGAGCGATGCCGCCGCGGATGAAGACGACGAGTTATCCGTTCTTGGTGGAAAGACGCGCCTGGTTGCGAAAACTGAGCCATCGTCACCCAACATCGTGGGGCGCTCCCCCACATCACACAACCCCGTCGTACCACTTCCGCTGTCCCCATCTATGCAGAGCCAGGTCCATCCAAGCGTTTGGGAGTACCTAGACTCATTTAACCCAAATCAGGCGCAACCAGTCCAGATCAGCCCGACAAACTCTGAGAGGCAAAGTTCCCAAGGCTCAATAAGCGGAGCATCTGCACGCAATTCCTTCTCGGAAGATGTGTCGCCTCTTTCGATGTACGGCTTGTCCACTATACCTAATGCCCCCACATTCCAGGCGGAGCCTTCGACATACCTTTCGCATCAGCAGCCGCTTCAACAGGCGGCGTCTATACACCACTACCCACAGCAGCAATCGCACAGCATAGCGGGAAGTAGCCAGGCTGCATCTGCAGTTCTGACGTTCCCGCAATACTTCCCCGTATTTGATTATGGGACGAATATGGAAGGCATAAATCGCGGTGCCGTGAACGGGGGTATGAATGGAGGTGGATATGGGGGCATCATGCTGGATGCAAACCCACTTCCGCCTGGCCAGCGACGTGCGTCGGGATCACCAGAAGCGACCATGCAGTCCACCTGGAACGATCTCGTGGAGAGCTTGGAGGGCTCAGGCTTCGACATGTAGTGTTGGCGAAGTTGGGTGACTGTGTCGCATCCATCTTGCCATGCTCCGATCACGATGCTGTCTATCTATTTATTGTGTGTGACTTCTTCTTGGTCCTATTTGCGTACTTACATATATGATATACCCACCTCTCCAATGTAATCCGCCAGATGGTATATGTACTACTCATCTCCCTTGTTGTAACCGACTCACCACACTGGCATGACTCTGACAACGACTCTCAGATCTATTAATACCAATATTTGGTTAGCAGAGAAGTGAGCTCAATTTCTTAGCTGAAATTTCGATTACCGTTGCTTCCCACCATCGTGCGCCACATCCGTTTGTTCAGTACGGGTTCCAAATGAAACATTCATTGGGTAGTCATATTGAGTCAAGTCTCGGAATATATATTCTATGTAAACAGAGTACACCAGTGTATCATATAGTATTTGTGCGTAGATGTAGCTAGTAGTGAAACTGGAAATATAGAGGATGGTATCTATCCAGGAGAGAGGTTGTGACGGAACTACTTATGCAAGTTGGCAATTACAAAGAAAGGAAAAGAAAGTAAATACACTGTTAGTTCCGCTCTAGGATGAGGAACCCCCCTCTAGATCATCACACTCGACGTAAGCTCTGTGTAAAATCCCGAAAATCGCGACAATGCACGCGGTATCAAGTATAAACCACACCGAGATGATGCTGCGCGATACCATGGTCAACGGGTAGAGACTCGTCGTGGGAGGTAGTGCGAACCCAGTACGCCAGACGGAGAACAGGAGTGCAATGATAACCAGTATAACTGCACTATTGTGTTGCATAAGCTATAGTGAATCGCCAGGAGAGCATAGAAACATGGCCTTACCAAAACAGAGAGATGGCCGGCATTGCGAACATTGTGGAACATATGTATGAACTGAACTTGCCATTGCTTTTCTTGACTCTCTGTTGCAGTGCGAGGCGTCAGTCCGCAATGGCGGAGAGGCAACAAGAGATTAGTACTTACATTGTGCCAAAACTCTTCACGCTTTTTATACTTGATATCCTTAGCTGAACTTGGGCGGCCGAAAAATAACAACAGCACACCGCCGTAGAAGACGGAAAACATGGCGCGGAAGATGGCGAGGAAGGCAAAGGAACGTATAACAGGATCCTCAGCCTTGTCGGGCATTAGAACGCCGGGAGCGGCTGCACTGCAGAGTTGAGAGCTCAATTAGTCTTCAAGACGAGGGGAGGCAGAGAGCCGCAGGGGCTTACGCGACAAATGCGCAGGCTGCTTGGACGACTGTGACCCAACCACGACGGTTCAAAGACCACAAGCGGCATAGGCGCTCAGCCGATTGTGCTTCTGGAGTAGCGGTAGAGGCCAGAGGACGCTGCGTCGTTTCTGGAGATGGAAAACAGGTGGTATTGTGTGGTCGGGGGGTGCCGCGGACAGTAGAGTCATTACCCCGGTCCGCCGCAAAGGTTGTCTCGGTGGACGTGACTGTTGCAGGGATCGTTTGTAGCTCGGTCCCCCCTCCGAGGTCGATTGCCTGTTGAGCGTCATTGCAGCTGTGGGAGTGAGACATAAATGAAAGCGTATGACGAAATTTCTGACGAGGAATCAGGATTGCCCTTCTTATTCATTTCACTTCTTCCCGAATCCCCAACGACTACAACAAATCCATGGGGATCTCTCGGGATCGTGCAATATTATGTCAGTGGTCCCGGTACCGTGACCTGTGTGCTGGACTGTGACGCTATGGACCGCTACTGAGATGTGCGCAGTAGTTGAAGAGTATGGCGATCCTGAGAATAGCGGTGCAAGGTCCGCATTATAGGCCAGACTCCAGTGTCTGAGCTGTCTGTCACTACAGCTACCGTTAAGCTTGATGCGATGATCTAAGTAATCTTGTAGCTTATTAGTTTAACTGAACCTCTTGCCGATTGAGCCATTAAACGATGGCCCCCGACTCACAAACAAGTTCAAGGCTTGAGCAATATTGATCATTCTGCCACAAGGAATTCCACTTCGCTGTGTTACTAGAGCAGAGCGAGCAGCATGCCGAGCGGAGACGTGGCGCACTTGGTCAAGGGCCAGCGGAACTAATTTGCCATCAACGGATGCAATTTGAACCTGTTCCTGCGATCAGCAGGTCTGAGATCTGGTTGTGAAATCAGGGTGTCCAGTCCACGTTTCTACTCGCGCCACAGTCGACTGAATATGCATCAATGAATCTTGGCGCATCTTTTTGGAGTCGACCTTGTACGTACAGAAAGTTTACTGCCCTCAGGAGCACCATCAAGGCCTTTGCCTTCCCTTTGCCCTAGATACTTTACCTCTGCACCTACTTGCTGCGTAAGGGCCGTATGGCGAAATGGCATCGCGTCTGACTACGATTCTCTCGGGATTAGGAGATTGCAGGTTCGACCCCTGTTTCTGTTATGCGTTCGAAGCGCTTAGGAGAGCTTCTTTCTTAACGGAGTCGACCGTTTTATGTATGATCACTATGTATCTGGCATACCGTCGAACAGATAGATACGTACTGATTTCAATAACTACCTGTCGCCCTTGATTGAAACGCACATCACCACACCAAAGGGTGCGAGTCTCAACGAGGCCATGTTTCCAGTGTCTGCTCAAGCCAAAAACTGCAGTCTTCCCATTTTGAATCAAAATATACAACAGAATTCGAAAAATGACACCTGGCGTGGATAAAGCCATCAACCTGGGGTAAGTGGCGCAAAGAAGAATGTAGTAGGGGTAGAGCAGGGGGTAGAGGAGTAGGAGTTGGGTGGGGAGGGTAAAAAGGCCAAGGGTGATAGAACATAAAACATACAAACAACAGTCCTGTTCGACTTTCAAAATTTCTCTTCACGTACATTATCCTTTCGTTTGTCTTCTTCTTTCTTCTTTATCTTTTCCTTCTTCCTCCAGATCATACACGTTCTTGTAGCCAGGACCTTCTTCCCCAATTCTAGTCTCTATTCTGAAGCGTGCGTGAGCGGGTCGATGCAGATGATCCCGTCGCGCTCGCTCCAGGGGTATCCCCACCTGTGCAGCCATTCGCGGACGCCGGTGGCGAGGCGAGCGCGCGAGGCGCCACGCGCGACGTCCTGCGTGCCCGTGTGTTTTTCCTCGCCGACGATCGCGTAGGCTGTGCAAAAAAGAGGGTGTGTCAGAGGAGCCTAAGGACCGGGGGAAGGAGATTGAATGCGTACCCAGTCCGTAGAAATGTTCGTTCTCAAGCTAGACGCACAAATTCACGTTAGTGCAACCTCCTAGGAGAAGGGTAAAGCACTCACAGCAAGCAAAAACTGCTCCAACACCTCCGTCGCCTCATTCGAGTGCAGACCATGCAGATCCAACATCGCCTCCATCCTTTCCTCACTGCTCGACTTTCCACCGTCCCCCACCGAATCCCGCCCCGCGACACCCAAACACACACCGAACCCACCCCCGCACGCATTACCCCGCGCTCCCCGGTCACCAGGGTCATCAGACCAGGTAGCGTCCCGGGCCCGCACCGCCTGCTCCGCGACCTTCGCGCGCTCACGCACGAGCTTCGCCGCCGCGCCCGCCATCTCCACACCCATCTTCGCATTTAAATCATGCCCCTCCCGTGAAAAGCGCTTCGCAGCCGCACCGTCCCCCCGCCGCCACGCGTCGGCGGCACGGGATAAACACGCGTTCCGCGCAGCCCCGAGTTGCAATGCCCGCGAACGGTACGTCATGTACATGCTGTTGACGGCCTCGCCCGTAGGAAGCGTCGGGAGGAGCTGTGGTGCGCGGAGTTTGAGACGCGGGGAGGCACGCGGGGCGACGATGGCGGAACGCCCGTGGTGGTGCAGCAGGTCGGCACTAGGCCCACCCATGCGCGCTGCGATCGCTGGGTCTGTGTTGGTGTTGTTGGTGGATGTGGGGTTCGGAGCCGGCGCGGGCTTCTTGACGGCGTTGGAGAATCGTGTGCGGCCCGGATCGTTGTAGGCGCGGTCGTAACCCCCGCGGCGACCGCGCCCTGCGCCATTTGCACCACCGTTGATGGAGTCGTACCCGAGCACGGGGAAGTCGTCTGGCGGAGGGCCTGTGTGCGCGGCGAGGGGGCCGGTGCCTGGGGCGATGTTGGCGCGCGCCATTGCGATGTTGAGGGAGGAGATGTCCGCGTCTTTGGGGAGATGGTGCAAGAACTCGCAGGCTTCCTGTTTAGCGCACGTTCCTCTGAGCCAGAAGCGGCATAGAGCGCGCTCGAGGTCGTGGCTGGAATCGATCAGGTTAATAAGCGTTGTGGGATCCACAGGAATACCACGCACCTGAACCTGCAGTCGGCGCGGAGGCACTCGCCTGCCATGAAGTAGCGGCACACTCTGTTGCCACCAGGGGCGGGACGACCGCGTCCTGGCCCTGGGCCGGCGTTGTTGTACCGAGGCCCATTGCCGTTTCCGTTCGCAAAGTTGCCTCGTCCAGGAGGGCCACCGCGGCCGTTAGCCGCAGCTTCTCTGGAGACCAACGTGACCCTGCCGCCCATAGACTGCATTCTAATCTGAGGGGCTGGGGCAGCAGGGGGTGCGCGGTCTACAAGCCACGCCATGGCGCGCTCGAAATCATACCCGTTGGCAGCGAGGGCGTCTTCGAGCTCGGAGGGGGCAAGCGTAGATCCGAAGACGGAGGAGAGCACGTCAAAGGGTGTCATGCCGTCGGTGAGCAGGGACTGCGCGTCCTGGGAAATATCTGCATCCTGGAGCTGCAGCTCGTTCGGGGGCGACTCGGTGAAGTTGTACGGCGGCATGGTATTGTGCCACTGGATGTTGTCGTAGTCGGACACAGTGATCGAGTGGAAGGAGTGGGGTGCGGCCTGACCGGGGGCGAAAGGGTCGAATGGGTCGTTTTCGTCGTCCTCGTCCTCGTTGGGCCAGTGGCTCGTACGCAGGGACGAACTGGGGGTCAGTGAGCGCGGCTGCTGGGAGGGGGATTGGTCAGCAATGAGGGGAGCGGCGATGGCGAGGTTGGAGGTGGCTCGAGGAGAGTTGTGGGCCCAGAGATCGGGCGAGGGCGTGTCAGTGCGAGAAAAATAAGATCCTGGGGTGGTTGCGGCGGCGGAGAGCGGGCGCGGGATGGGCTTGAACTCGCTGGCTTTGGCGTTGAGCATCCTGGGGGAGGAGAGGGGGGAAGCAGGGAGACTGGCGGTGAACTGGGCGTGAGCGTGAGTGGCCTGGACGTGGGCGAGAATGGGTGAAGACTGTGGTGAGTAGTCGCTACGAGACGCCATGTACGACGTGGGCTGGGCGGTTCCACCAGCCAGAGGGGAGGTTACGGGTGTATGGGGCCGTCTGAAAGCGATTGCAAGGGGAGACGTGGGCGCGGAGTTGGGCGTGTCGGGCCGCGCGTGCAGCCGGTTTGAGTTAGACGCGCGCGACGACGGCCGCGACATCGGACGCCGCGTCGACGTCAGGTAGAAAAACGGAACTCCTGCAATGTCGTCCCGGTGCTTGTGCATCAAATCCAGCACATTTTGCTCCAGCTGCCCAAAAGTCAGCACAAAGAGCCCGCGATGAGACTCAGACTGAGCTCACCGTCTCGTCGTCCATGCCATAGGTGTTCTTCAGCAGTGCTTTTAGCTCGTCCTCCTGCTCGTCTGCCAGCAGTGCGGCGATTCGATTCACAAACGGCGACGACACCCGACTAAAGTCGTCCCCATCCGCATCGCTGTCATAGTTGCTGTCCAGCGGTCTGTGCTGCCGCGCAATGGCCGACAGCTGTGCACGGGTATGAGGAAACTTGGGCATCGACGATGGCGGGTCTGTCACTGAATCCTGAGTGAAACTGCCAAACTCATAGCTCGTCGTCAACGGGGGGCTCAGGGCAGCCATTGCTGGGAAAGAATCGACAACGATGAACGCTCAGTAACCCATAAACTGAACAAACAACGATCATCAGTCTTACAGCCGAGGCAGTCGCGGTCTATACTCTAAATCTAAACGATAGTCAACCATCTGCCAAGTATCTGCTATTGCTTTCGACATGCCCTGCTCTCACCTTCACTGTGGTGGCAGCTCTCTTTCTATGGCAGGTCCTCAAGCACCCTTTCCCTCCTCGATGCCCCAATCCCCGCACGAAGACCAAAAAATCTCCGCCTAGTGTCACAGATCTCGTACCTCGCATTTCTCAACTTTTCTTACGCCTGCATCTCTAGGGGCGCCAGCGGTGTAGAGTGCGGGTGCCTCGAGTTTATCTTGTTCTCGACTGCACGGAACGCGGGGTGACAATTTAGTGGTCTTTCCGCCACCGTTTGCTGATTTTTTTTCGAATAGAAATACATGCTGAACCGAATGAGCAAGGCCGCACCTATCTTTCTGAAGAAATTCTATCCTTAAAGTATGATCGCTACCTACTTGCTCTAGGGATAAAATACAACGCTTCTCCGATTAGCATTTGTGAGAGAGTGCGCCACACGATCCGACACGACTTTCTCATCTGTTTTAAGTCTCCCCAGTCCATCAATGCAGCAACCCAACTTCTGAGCCACCGGAGGAGAGTGAGCTCAACCTTACGAGTAATTGCCACACCTGGACGCGAGCTTAGACTGCTTTAAGATTATCACCGTAGACTCACAATCGGACGGCCCGATTCAGAATCGGACACTGTGAGCAAAAATACTGTTGCTGCTGCAGCTGAGCTTGCCCGCTTCAAATCCTTGACGAGACGCATCGTTCGTAAATGCCAGTATATATATCTTGGTTAACTCGCTCATAGAAGAAGTTCAACAGACGTTGATTCGTGACGGTAACCAGTGCGCCTTTCCGAAGAAGCTCGAACCCCATCCAGTCAAAGCTCGTGGTTACGTTGAACCTGCGCGCTCTACACTCATAGGGAGAATAAGGGCTGCTCACATAGTTCCTGTCATGCCTTACGATGAAAAGGACATAAAGGTATTTCAAGTTCAACGAGTCATCTCCTCGGCTTTCGTTGAAACAATTACGGAGGTTACCTTGGCAATTTTAGAAAACTTTGGTGGCATCTCTGCAGAAGAACTACGGGGAAAATAGATTCGCCATCCTCGGAACCTCATTACCCTCACCTTGGACGTACATTCTTCCTTCCGCGTGCTGTCAATTTGGCTCGAAGCGACTGTAAGTGTCCCAAAAGCTTCATTAGCATTTCTACCAGCCGTTCACGCACTTTGCAGGATGTACCCAATGAATATCTTCTGAAGGAAATGCGTCCGTCTACTGTATGGCCATGTAGACGATATAACACGACCCGTAACGTTTGGAAGCCTCAAGTATTCCTCACCGTCATTCAAGTATCTGGCGCTTCATGCTACATGTACAATAGCGGTCTGGTGCTGCATACTGGAATGACATGATGGAAAAAGGAGGCCCAGAATTCGCCGAAGGTCCGACACCGATGATTACGACAATATCACATATGTCAAGATCAGCAATGCT